CTTTCTTTCCCCTACTGGATTCATTCAGAGTCCTAGCAGTTAAAATGGTACAGTCAAACTGTCTTGTTTGTCCTGGGGAGGAGGCTGGCTCAGGAAGGGCAGAAGCCCAGGGGGCACCAGGACCCTCCCATCCTGAGCTGTCCGTCTTCAGCCTCTCACCCAGCGCCTCAATCTCTGGCTCCTACAGATGCGGCCGAAAGTCATGTGGCACCTCCTTCGCCGGTACATGGCATCCCGGCTCTACTCCCTGCGGATGGGTGGCTACCTGTTCTCTGGCTCCCAGGCCCCGCAGTTGTCCCCCGCCCTGATGAGGGCCCTGGGCCAGAAGTGTCCCAACCTGAAGCGCCTCTGCCTGCACGTGGCCGACCTTAGCATGGTGCCCATCACCAGCTTGCCCCCCACACTGAGGACCCTGGAGCTGCACAGCTGCGAGATCTCCATGGCCTGGCTCCTGAGGCAGCAGGACCCCACCGTGCTGCCCCTGCTGGAGTGCATCGTGCTGGACCGCGTGCCCGCCTTCCGCGACGAACACCTGCAAGGCCTGACGCGCTTCCGTGCCCTGCGCTCGCTGGTGCTGGGCGGCACGTACCGCGTCACCGAGACGGGGCTGGATGCCAGCCTGCAGGAGATGAGCTACCTGCAGAGGCTCGAGGTGCTGGGCTGCACCCTCTCGGCCGACAGCACCCTGCTGGCCATCAGCCGCCACCTCCGAGATGTGCGCAAGATCCGGCTGACCGTGAGGGGCCTCTCTGCCCCTGGCCTGGCCGTCCTGGAAGGGATGCCGGCCCTGGAGAGTCTGTGCCTGCTGGGCCCCCTCATCACCCCAGAAATGCCCTCCCCCACTGAGATCCTTTCCTCCTGCCTCACCATGCCCAAGCTCAGAGTCCTCGAGCTGCAGGGGCTGGGGTGGGAGGGTCAGGAAGCCGAGAAGATCCTGTGCAAGGGGCTGCCCCACTGCATGGTCATCGTCAGGGCCTGCCCCAAAGAGTCCCTGGACTGGTGGATGTAACTGCCCCATCTGTCCTTGGAATCCAGCCTAGCTTTCACCGTTGAGCCCCAGACCCTCTGCGCAGCACGTTGAAGAGGGCGAGTAATCTAGTTTAAAGGCACTGAAGGCCCCAGGTAGAGAGAACTCGGGCCCAGGGGCCTCTAGACCATTGGAATCATTGTTTGCCAATTGTGTGGCCTCTCTGAGACTCAGTTCCCACATCTGGAAATAGGGAAGACCACAGCTACCTCATGGTTATGTTGCAAAGCCTTACTCTGAACAGCTACCGACCCCAAGAAGGCTCTCAATGAAGGGTGATCCCCAGGGTTGTCCTTAGGAACAAGATGGAGGCAGAAAGGTGGGGTTAAGAGCTAGGGGCGACCAGTCCCTGTGTCTCATGCCTGTAATTCTAGCACTTTGGGAAGCTGAGGCAGGAGGATCGCTTGAGCCCAGGAGTTCCAGACCAGCCTGGGCAACATAGCAAGACCCTGTCTCTACCAAAAATAAAAAGAAGCCAGGGGCACCAGAAGGGCTGAGCCCCCTTAAGAGGCCTAGAAGGACTATCTATGCATCTGCACCCACACACCTATGCACCATTTGTATACTTACATGCAGAGAGAGAGAGCAAGTAAGACTTGGCTTTGATGATCAAAATGTTCATAAAGGTTCTCAATTGTATTTTATATTCTGTATTTTCCATAACACATATTATTTTGCTATTAAAGAAAAGATCATTTTTTTCCAAAGAAACATCCACTCTATTCATTCAAGCAATGTTTCTTGAGCACCTCCTATTTTGCAGGCACTGTTCTAGGTCCTGGGGCCACAGCAGTGAACAAAACTGACAAGATCCTGCCCTTGTAGAGCTCAAAGGGGAGAAGGCAGGACAACAAACAGGTAAGCACAACTGAATGATTTGGGAGACTGAGACAGTAAACCTGGGTCACCATGATGGATGCACAGGCACTTGGTAGAGTGAGCAGAGCAGGCTTCTGGGCTGAGATCTGAGAGGTGAAGAGAAACCAGCCATGGGAAGAGCTCAGGAAGAAGAGGAAAGACAAAATCCCTGATGTCGGAATGAACTTGGCATTTTCCAGAAACAGGAAGAAGGTTCCGGTGGTGGGAAGAGCAACAGAAAGGTAGGAGGCTGGCCAAGGTGGCTCACGCCTATAATACAGTGCTTTGGGAGGCCAAGGCAGGAGGATCGCTTGAGGCCAGGAGTTCAAGACCAGCCTTGACAACATAGCAAGGCCCCATTTGTAAAAATCTAAAAATTAACTGGGCATAGAGGTGTACACCTGTGGTCCCAGCTACCTAGGAGGCTGAGGTGGGAGGAGTGTTTGAATCCGGGAGTTCAAGGTTGCAGTGAGCTATGATGACAGCAGTGCATTCCAGCTTGGGCGACAGACCCTGTCTCTAAAAAAAAAAAAAAAATTTTAGAAAGGTTGGAGAAATAATGGGGACCTGGGCAGGCAGGGCCTTGCAGGTGGCTCAGGTTTCAGGGCTTCAGTAAGTAGCAGCTCCTCTTCTGCTTTTTGAGTCTGAACCACTTGAAAGATGCAGATGTCAGTTCATGATTGTGCGCACCCACCCATGCGAGGAGCGTTGCTTCTGATCTGAGCTGGGTGGGAGGGTGTGTGTGGCTAAGCCAGGCTCTGTGGGCTCACCACCTGCCCGGAAGACCAGGGTGCCACCTCTGTGGTGGGCAGAGACAGAAGGGAGCTGAGCTGGGTACACTTGGTTTTTTATTCCAAGCACACACGTCAGAGAAGAACTGGAGACAGCAGACAGCTATTGGATCTGCCTTCGCTTTAGCCTCAGACCCTTCCCTCCCTCTCTTTCCTCCCTTCCCACCGTCATCCAAGCCACTTTCTTCTCTCATCAGGATTACTGCCTTAACTTTCTAATTTCCCTCCCTGATTCTCCCTTTGCCTTCTATGAGTCGCATAAATGACAGAGATCGTTTCAAATATATACATCAGATAACATTGTTCCTGTACCTGAAAACCCTTCAGTGATTCCCCTTTGCACTCAGAGTAAAACTCAAAATTTTTAGGTTGCCCTGGTGGCCTTGTGTGATCTGACTCTTAATTCTCTGACTTCATTTCCTGCTAGACTCCATCCTGCCCAGCTTGCTTAAACCATTTCAGACGCTGCGCTTCTGCTGTTGTTTAAAGAGGTTACACACTCTGCTGCCTCAGGGCCTTTGCACTTGCTGTTTATTCTTCCCCCAGAAATTTACCCACATTCCCTAAATTTCTTTAGCCATTTTCTAGGTGTGAAGTGGAAATACTGTGTAGTTGACTGTGTCTCTCAGTTTTCTCGTGTCAAATTGTTCCCTCCTACCCAGCCTCAAGCAGCAGGCAGAAATTATAACCCAAAGGTATAGTGGGACAGGAAAATGCTTATTTTATTTTATTTATTTATCTTGAGACAGCGTCTTGCTCTGTTGCCCCAGCCAGAGTGGGGCAGGGGCATCATCACAGCTCACCGCAGCCTCAAACTCCTGGGCTCCAGTGATCCTCCTGCCTCAGCCTCGAAAGTAGCTGGGACTACAGGCGCATGCCACACCTGGCTAATTTTTCTATTTTTAGTAGAGATGGGGTCTCGCTCTTGCTCAGGCTGGTCTCAAACTCCTGACTTCAAGCGATCCTCCCGCCTCAGCCTCCCAGAATGCTGGGATTACAGACATGAACCACCTCGCCTGGCGGAAAATGCTCTTTAAACGAGAATTTTGAATAGGGAAGGAAGGTTTTATACTTGGTTTCAAAAGGCAACTGCTTGAGAGGATCTGTAATACCCGTAGTCTCCACAAGACGGCAGCACATCACCGAATTTGCCTTGTAAATTACTATATTCTCATAGCAGGAATTAAGAGAAACAGCTAACGTTTGAAGACCTCTTCACCCTTCGTAAGAGAGGAAGTGAAAAGAACTCATATTTGTTGGGCATCTACTGTATCAGCTGGACACTCTGATTTACAACTATGATTTAAATCAGAGCATGTTCTGCAACTCTCAGAACTCTCCCCAATAATAATCACTTGGGAAATGATACAAAAATTAAATGTATTAAATGTATAATGTCTAGGAGTTAAGCTAACTTAAAGATACAACCGATTTAAGAAGAAAATTTTAAATTCTTTTCTGGAACCTAAGGAACGAGATGAATGGAGGCGTGTCCCACCTTGTGGACTGGTAGATACCTTTGCAAATCTGGTGTTCTGTTGTATAGAGCCTCGGGGGAGGCTGAAAACTGCAGCAAGAAAAGCTTTTATTTTTGGCATCCTGAGGACTGGACAGTTAGAATGAGGGCCCACTCAAGTCCCGCCCCTAAGCCTAGGTCTCCCTCCTTGGCTCCGCCCACTGGGCCTGGAGCCCGCCTTAGGCCCGCCCACTGGGTCTGGCGCTTTCCCCCGGCCTCCTAGCTTCCAACGCGGGCCACGCCCCCAGAACTGTCCCCGCCTCTGGATCCGCCCAGCGGCCCTGGACCCGCTCCTTTGGCTTCTTTAGGTTCTGCACATCTTCCGGTCGACCTCCTGGGGCCCCACCCCTTCGCCTTACAAAGCCGGAAGTGGAAATTGCGTCAGTGGGGCGGTCGGACCGGCGCAGCCTAGGTGTGGTAGAGGTTTGCGGAAGGGTCTGGCGGGGGGCAGTTGCGGTTAAGGGATGTGTCCCGTCCTTTGCTAGGTCCCAGACCATTTTTCCGGGCCCGCTGAGGCCGGGGCTCTCCCCTGGAGGCCCGAGGCCAAGCGGCCGCGCTGGGCGTCCGGTCCCCGGGAGGGGCGGGTCGGGAGATGCGGTCATTGCGGAGCCTTTTCTACAAAAGCCGCCTAAGCAGCATGTGTGTCCTTTCTCCAGAAGGAAAAGCATCTCCGTAATTCAGGTCACAGAAACTGGAGCCCCATTGGTCTCCCTGTCTTTGTCGACCTGGCGGTTCGGGCGACCTCTGGGTTGGTTCAAGAGGGTCGGTCTAATGCAAGAGAATTTTTACCAACAGCTTTATTGAGGTGTAATTCGCATAGAAGGACGTATATATTTGCACATATTTAAAGTGTACGTTTTGGTAAGTTTGGACATAGGAGTACACCTGTCAAACAATGACAATCAAAATGTTGAATAAAAAGTTTCCACTATCATCACTACAGCCTAGCTCTCAACACTACGTTGATTGTCATGGTAGATAAGTTTGGATTTTGCAAGAGACATTTTTTGGTTTTGGGGAGTTTTTTTGAAACAGAGTCTCTCTCTGTCACCCAGACTAGAAGGCAGTGGCATCATCATAGCTCACTGCAACCTCAAACTCCAGGGCTCAAGGGTTCCTCCTGCCTTGGCCTCCCGAGTAGCTGGGACTACAGGGCGGGTACCGCCACGCTTGGCTAAGAGAAGTTTTTAACCGTTGAGTTTTGTTCTGTGTGTGGGCATCAGTAATTTGGTGCATCATATTTGGGTGTTAAGATGCTTGCTTAGGTTTGTAGGATTTGTAGGCTTCAAGAAATATAACTATGTTGACCACAAACCTTTCTACTTAAAACAGAACAAGAATAGTCAGCTGAGGTCAACAGCAGATGAACTTTCTAGGTCCGTACATACTACCCGCAGAACTTAACAGTTTAGGAGCCTGCAGGAATAAGGAGGATGCAGGCTACATCATGCTGGTACCAGAGATTAAAATCGTGTTGACCCTAACAGAGCTGTGTTTTGACCAAGTGGGGTTATTTTTTCCTATGTCTTTATTTTGGCAAATGTCATGCCTACAGAAATGTTGAAAGACAAGTACTATATATATTGCTGGCCTAGAATCACGGACTGTTTATATTTTGCCACACATACATCCTCTGTATATGTATTCATAGCTATATATATGTTTTCTGATGAACCGTTTGAAAGTTGCAGATATTAAACGACACTTATGGAGAAAAAGAAAAGAAGCTTTTTATCTGAGAAATGTGAGCCCCCTTAAATGATCAGGCCCAGAGAGGCAATGAAATGAAACAGTAGTCACATCACTCCCCCATGAGCTAAATAATTATCTCTTGAAGCTGTTTTCTATGTGGGTTCCAGACTGACTCCAAGAAGCCATAAAATGCGATAGGTTGGACACCATAACTCATACCCTATAGTTCAACAATGTATAGCCAATCACTAATCAATGTTAATGCTGTAAATAAACCAATGAGAATTCCCGATGAACAACTTTGTATCAGCCCACTCCTTGTCCCCTTTCCCTTTAAAAACCTTGTAACAAAGGCAGATGGAGGAGTCCCCAAGGCAACTTGGAAGTGTCCCTGGCAGCTGTCCTCACTTGTGCTCAAGTAAACTCTCTAAATTATATTTTGAGCCTCAGCCTCTTCCTTTTAGGTTGATATAC